TCCTATTGTCCAACTTTGATGAGGTCACGTAAATTGTTGTCTCAGTTTCCTATATGTGGTGGCACCCAGTATGTTCTTCTTCTGCTTTCTGTGTGCTGGTCTTTCAGAGATGCTCTTTTGCAAACCTTGGTTGTAATGAGTGGTTTGAAGCAGTCTGTCCATTCTTTTCTGATCACAAGGCTTTTTTGCCCCGAGAACTGCCGATCACTTCTTTTCACCATTCTGCTTGGTTTGAGCTTCAGGAGGTCGTCTTGACCATGTCTACATGCCTAAATGCGCTGAGTTGCTACTATGTGATTGGCAAAGTAAAAGGCAGAGTGAATAAATGACACAATAGTGCATTTCAAAGTCAAAGAGCTAACACTGAACTTCTCGATTAGTTTTTAGACTGCTTTGCATGAACTGTCCCACTTTGGCTAGCTGATTATGAATTTTGTTCATTCTGCAAAATGTGAAACAAACATTTAGTACGTGAAGACGCTACAAATGCATAATTGTTTGGGTTTTTTTCCCTTGGTGGCTGGTGACTTGGCATAAATTTGGAGATGGATACTCTATTTGAACAACCTCAAAGGATGTTTCATTGGATTAGCCACACTGCATCGAAGATGAAGTGTCTACACCCACGGAAGGAAACCCCGAGATGTCTGGCTCAGTGAATGGCTCAAATATAAGGGGGACCGTGGTGGTAAGCTTTAGGATGATGCAAAAGAGTGAAAAAAGCACAGAGGAGAGGCAGTCAGAGACCAAAGCTGTCTCCCTGTTTCAGAGCAGATTAATGTCAGACTCCCCAAAGCTTCACATTCACCTCCCACTTTTTACTGAATGAATGTCACTTTTTATAGGCTGTGCTTTTCTCCCTGCTGTCTGTCACTATAAAGCACAAAGTGATGTGTATTAAATCAATGCACTGACAGTTACATGACTAAGGACAGTACATTATGAAAATTGTATTTTTCCACCATGACAAATGACATGAAACAATCTTGCTTAAGGGAGGAAAACACAGACTACAGTCACGCTGGTTCTCAGTTTATTATTGCTTTGACTGGTTATTTTCTTCTGTGTTTATTTAAAGTGATAGCATTATATCTACTGCAGTACTTGTAGAACATTTTAATCATGAGAATATGACTGTCTGCACTCATATAGCCCCTGACTTGTTATTACTTCATGCCTCTTAAAATGCATGCCTACTGAAGCAGCTGGGAGCCTGTTCGCTCTTCTCCCTGCAGTTTCCTCCACCTCAGCCAGCAACACGCTGCAGTTCGCTTTACTTTGACTGTGATACACGGTTTGATTGGTGGGTTGGCGGAATCCCAAACTTTGACAAGATAATTTGTGACTTCTGCTCTGACCAGCTTGTACAGGACGAGACGGACTTTGCATTAATCTGGATCGTTCTTTTTTCATCACTTCCCAGTCTTATAAGTTCACCGGAGGTTTCCTTAAAGTTCACCCCAACCTCAAAAATGTATACAGAACCATGCTTTTCCTCCAGCAGTACTTGCAATGGTTAGTCATGTGTTTTTGATTAAGATTGCAACAGAAAAAAAACAAAACTATAATATTAAAATATTACGGCGCTATTTTGTTTTTGCGGCGTCGGTCCACGAAAGGTCATCTGGTGAGCATGATTCAAACATCTCAACAGTTATTAGATTATTTTTTTGAGAATTCTTCTACTGTGCTGTTGTGGATGAATCACAGATGCACTTCTGGCCTGAACGTACTTAATAGAGCAGCACTTGTAAACACAACGGTGCAATTTAGAAGCATTGGACACGAAATGGCCTTTAACCTGCCAGTTTCCTGTTCCATAATCTAATTAATGTCCGATCAGGCCAGTGTGAGAATATTGCAGTTAGTAGCCCCTTTGTTTTTCATCTGTCCTGCTTCCAACATGGTCTGCACAGAATATTTCCACCGGTCATCATGCATATCCATGAAACTACCTCTTGAAAATATTCAGAAGTGATCCTCTCCACTGTTTGGAAATCATGTGCGGAAGCAGCTCTACTCTGCTCATTCCTTTTGTTGCACCATGAGGTAGACATTTAGGGTTTTGAATGGACATCAACTTTTGCGATCTCTCAACTTTTTTATTCTGTACCGTCAGTATGTTTCTAACATGCTGTGTGGGCTATGTGTTGAGTTGTGATCAACTTTTGTGTCTTCCACCCAACCACCAAGCAGTGGGACAGATTTTTATTTTGTATTTTACTGATCCTTTTCCAGTCTACGTTGTATACCAGAAGGACAGATTATAAGGTGTGAAGAGGAAGGCAGCCATTTGAAAAGTTCCCTTTGTAGATCACAGAGAGGATTTGGCTTTACTCTCCCAATTATTTGGAGGAAGTGATAAGAAGAGACAAGAAATCAATATGAGCCTAAGCAACAGGGGAAAAAAAACATGAAATGAGATTCATGAGAGGGAACCTTATCTGCAATCCTTTCCCACGCCTTGATTAACAACCATTCCCTAGAAATAAGGCACGCTATAACCAATTTTGCTTCATTCATTTATTCACAGATTGGAAAACAAGCCTAAAATAACACTTTTTGAAAATTATTTGGTCCCTCAAGGCTCAAAAGATTCGGATCAACAAAAGCAAAGTTGTTAAGAAAGTGTATCTTTTCTTTTTTTTTCCTTTGAGAAAATAAGCAGTTTACTAACAAGCAAGGAATACAGAAATACTTCTACTTTCAAAGAGATAAATTCCACAAAATCTGGTTGTTTACAGCATCCTAGAATGACTCTTAAATCCCATAAAATACAAAATCTCTAGTCACACCAGTGTTTTGACTTCTGCATTAAACAACTGAGCGTTAAATATGGACTGGATCGGTACCATCAGTCTGAGAAAACATGAAGATTTGCACTAAAATTTGAACTCATGCAGACCAACACATTGCTATGCATCAACGCATTTGTCAGGGTACTGGTTAGTATACAAACACCATTAACCACAGTGTCCCCAGTTATATAATATCTGCCTAAACCTAATAAAGGATATTGATACAGTCTAGATATTGTGATATTGTGCTTGTATACACAGCAAACTGTAATATTTGTACAGATGCACTGGTTTCAGTTCAATCCTTATGGCCGTTTTCTTTTGTGGCTGCTGTTGTCTCAAACTGACTCACGTTTGAGACATTTTGGCTTTTTTGGAGGGCGTTTTGTGGAAAACATAGCGTTTTTTCCTCTTTAAGATTAACTGTCGGGATGGGATGAATAACTATCAGCATGGAGGTGTCATTTCCGTCCTAACTGAAAGGGGGATTTGTTGATATTTTCTTCCCTTCCTACTAACTAGCACCAACATAGGAAGAATAATAATTGATGGCACAAAATAGCTCCAGGGGATTGTGGTTTTTAATTGTGACATAATTGTTCAGTGTCTGTGTGTGTGTGTGTGTAGGGTGGGTGGTTGGGTGGGGGGAAGACAAGAGCAATTAAAAAAACTCTAGGCTCCCTATTCTTTATTTGAGTTCATCTCCTTTATTCTCAGTCACCGTTCTTGTAACAGGAAACTCAGCCTGTGCCTCAGAGTCCACTTAGGAGACTCCTGTCACACAGAGGAGAAAGATCTAATTTGGGCAGACTGTAAAGGAGCATCATCATCATCATCATCCACCCAAACAAACAGAGGAGGATAATGTTGTCTGCTCGGATATTTCACTTCAGTCCTTTCAACTGCCTGCATGGCACCAACCTCAAAGAAGGAAGTAAAGGGAGACAGGGGATGCGAGGAGGACTCCCCGTTTCCTTGTACGATTAATATTCAACACCATCATCTACAGTGTTCCCTTTTATGCATATTCTGCATTGAATTCTCTGCCTAAAAAGCCTAATCTGATGATGGTTTTTTTTGTTTAATTTAGACAAAGCTGCAGCTTGTTTTTTATTGCAAAAAAAAAGCAAAATAAGAGAGAAAAAGTCGACTTAAACACAGACACTTTGTTCTGATAGTTTTATAACCTTTCAGGAAGCCATAAAGCCCCCGAGGGAGGAATCTGCTGTACTCTCAACTTTCTCAAGAGAATTAGAGGAGAAGGGGGGGGAGAAATTAGAATGTCATATGTTGACAAATAAAGCTTGTTTTGTAAGCGTGAGAGAACATGCCTGCCTGATTAATTCAGTTGTAGCTTCATATCTAATAGCTTCTATGTAATTTCTCTTATCATGGCTTTAAACACAACTCTGGCTCTGTTCTCATTCTTAGTGCAGTGATGCCCAAAGTAATAAAAGTCATAGCTTACAGAGTTGTACATTACTGATGGATCTTTGACTGATGAAGAATCATTTCACCAGAGTGCTGGATCTTGTCCAGTCTGATAGTTCTGCCTGTTGGCAGGCAGGACGTCTCGTTTTTAAACCTGCCGCACTGTCGGTTTTCGCTGTCATCTAAGCAAGCTAAGACATACAAAAATATATTACTGCTCGTTAAACAAAAAAGTTACAAGTAAACAAGAAATGTGTCACAAAGCTGAGAAGCATTTTCAATCACACGGTTGGTGATAGAGGATGTCCTCGATTTGACCTTTTCTGTCATCCGGTCAACCAACAGGCTGGACACCACTGATCTAAACAACCACTCTGAACGACTCCGTGTAGCGTAGCGTCTTCCTTATTTGGGTCAATCTTTCAAAGGAACTAAGCCTCCATCCATCCATCCATTCGCTTCCGCTTATCCTTTTCAGGGTCGCGGGGGGTGCTGGAGCCTATCCCAGCTGTCATAGAGCGAGAGGCGGGGTACACCCTGGACAGGTCGCCAGTCTGTCGCAGGGCCAACACACAGGGACAGACAACCATTTGCACTCACATTCATACCTAGTGACAATTTGGATTAATCAATTAACCTATCCCCACAAGCTGCATGTCTTTGGACGGTGGGAGGAAGCCGGAGTACCCGGAGGGAACCCATGCAAACACGGGGAGAACATGCAAACTCCACACAGAAAGACCCTGACCAGGTAGTGGAGCCAATCTTGCTGTGCGGCAACAGTGCTAACCACCGTGCCACCGTGCTGCCAACTAAGCCTACTAAACTAATTTAACTTTTTTAAAGGGTCTGTGTTGCCCTGCAATAGGCCACATTAAGATAATTTATGATTCATATAGTTTTATTATGATGTTCTAAGCAATCTTTGAATTCACAACTATGTTTTTACTACAGTATTTACTCTCACAGCACTGGTGGGTAACTGTTTTGTCCACTTCACTAGCCTTCTACTTGTCTAATAGCACCTGGTTTCACAGTGGATCAAGGAGTACAGAGGCCATAGCAGCTCTCAGCTTGAGTTGCTTTTACTGGAGAGCAGAGACAGAAAGACAGCAAAAGAGGCATAAAGAGAATACACACACACAAAGAAACACTTAATGAGGAAGCAGTTATTTCTAAAATTGTATGATTTTTGATATGTTGATGTTAGTGAGCTGTAAAATGGGAAGACTCAACAGCTTTGTAATGCTGACACTTGCAGGGAGAGAGTGGGTACATTTCTGGTGGATCAGCTGTATCTACGGTTATCTGGGAATTGGTGTTTAATTGAAACTGAAGCAAGACGAACCCAACAGAAAGAAATGAGTGTATTAGCAGACAGGAGGAGGATGATGAGGAGGACGATTGGAGCCCTGCTACACTGGGCTGTGGTCCGGAGAAGCGTGTGTGGCTGTCACGGTCACGCACTCTGTAGCCGTGTCCTTGGTCCTGCGAAGGCCCGTGTACAACCTCTCATCCAGGTTAGCACTCAGTTTGTCTGTTAGCTCTGCTGTGATGGTTTGTGGGCCGTATCCCGACGAGTCGAGCAGCTGACGTGAACGCTCATCTGGGGGTTCAGAGGGGTGGCTAGACTGTCTGCTGTCATCCTGAGGGTCAGGCAGCTCAGTCAGTCCTCCATCTTTCTCTGAAATGGAGGGATGAAGAGGCGAAGGGGAAGAGGTCGTGTGGTCCTCAGTGTCTCTGACGGGGGCGCCCTGCACCTTTTCTCCATCCTCAGATGTTGTGAGCTCTACCTTTGGAGTGTCAGGCGTGCTGCTGGTCCCATCGCTCGTCTCCTCGTCAGGAGCACTGACGATGCGGGGCAGCGTACTGTGGTAGCTCGTGTCCAGGGGATAGTTTACACTGTCACCCCTCCTTAGAGGCGTCCGCTGTCTCTCAAAGGAGGACTGGAAGTGTCTGACACCAGGATCGCTCCACTGCTTGTGGCGCTGCCACTGCTTGCGTAGGTGGATTCGGGACCGGTGCTTTCTCAGCGGGGACTCCTGCTGATCAAACTGAGGGTCGTGGCGGAGAAACTCGTGGAAGAGCGCATCCGTCTTCTCATCTATGCTGTAGTCTCGGCGGTGCAGGGTTAAATGCTGAGGTGGAAGCTGTGCAGCTTCTCGAGGAGAGAGCACATGACCGTATGGAAACCACCTCAGTGAACCAGCACCTGTTTCGGTGGAAACTCCTCCACTGGCGCCCAACAACAACTCATCTTCAGGCTCCTCCTCGAAGAGATGAGATTCAAAACTCTCACCTATCGTGCCAGTTCGCCCTGCATTGGTGAAATGATGCCTTTTCTCGTGGGCCGTTCTGTCTTTGGGGCTGCTGGTGATGCTGCTGCTCCCAAACAGTCGCAGATCTTCCGGACCTCGAGACGGAGCCTCTATCGACGCGTAGCCGCTGTCCATCTGCAGTAATTTACGAGTCCCCGTTTCTCCATCATTGCTCCCTCGCTCTGAGTCTGTGCTTTTCTGTTTCTTCTTTTTTGACTCCTTCACCTCCATCTTCTCATCCATACAGACAAAGAAGTCCTTGTCATCCTCCCCACCCTCTCCCTCATCCCCTAAATCCTGGGATGGGTAGCTGGGGAGACCTCTTTCTGTGTCTGTTCGTCCACCAAGTGAACACACACTGTCAGCATCACTGCAGACTGAGTTCCTGTCATTGTTGCTGCTCTGGTCAGAGGCTGCGTACTGTTCGAGAGTTGCACGTAATGTCCAGATGTCTCTGTAAAGTGACTGGGAATCCTGGGGATCAATGGGGTCGGATTGGTTTGCACTTTCCCTTCTAGCCAAGGACAGCGCTTCGTCTTGGGGATCAGGGGACAGGCCAATCACCCCTGGTCCTCCACGGCTGCAGCTGGGCTCCACCATCACCTCTACCTCTACCCTGCAGTATCCACACAGGGATGGAGAGATGAGATAAAATGAAAAGAAATAAAGAGACGAGGAAGAAGAGAAACAAAGAGACATGCAACACAAGTGTCAGTGAGCATTTACCTAAATAGGATGTTAATCTGAGACATGGTTGTGTTCACAGAGCACAGAATGATTATCATGACTTGCAAATGGTTGCAGCTGCATGTCTCTAAAGTGATCTTAGCTGAACAGCTGAAACTGCTTAAACTCTGGAAAGGTGCTTTCATCTTAGGGCAGGGAATTTTATGAAACGTAATGCACGGAGCATAACATGAGCTGAGGAAATGAGCATAAGAATCGTTGCATTTCTTTGTTCACAGAAATGGATTTTATTTTCAGCAATAAAACAAACGTACACCAAAAACATCGATTCGTTTCATAGTCAGTGTAAGAAAATAAATAGTTATGTAAGAAAATATGTATGAGCATTAGCAGTTTTTGTTGCGTAACACGAAACCCTAAAAAACAACCTGCACTGCTATAATTGCAAACTTATATTATAATCGTACTTTTGAAAACATCGTTACATTATCAAGTCAGCAATGAAATGGTTTCGTGTGCCTGTTATAAACCCCGCGTCCCAATTCTCCGCGAGGAATCCTCGCCACGTGGCTCAAACTGATGGCATTGTTTGAAAAGACAGATCAGACTTTGGTTACAGACAGTGTTGGGAAGGTTACTTTTAAAATGTATTCCATTACAGAATACAGA